GTTTCTATAAATGGATAAAACACCTTATAAAAAAAAAAAAAAAATTATTCCCCCCCCGGTGGTTGATGTAATTAGGGGTATGTCAATCTGCTAATTCTGCAAACTCTTATAGATGTTGACATTTCTTTCCTGATGCAAGAAGTCAGAAAAGCAAAGCTGAAATAAATCATTTAAAAGTTCCTCATAAAGCTTTAGCAGAAGTAATACACTGTTGCCCATGACCAAATTAGCTTCTTCCCCTCTAAAAGCTCTACCACAGAATCAGTCCCGATAGGATAGTTAGGCTACACGGACAGTTAAAAGCTTTGCTATAAGTGAAGTTTTAACTAGCTTCAGCAAGATTGTTCAAAGTCAACCAATGGCTTGCTGTTTCCAGACCAGGAGAAATACAAAGTAGGGAGAGACCTTACCCATGACAGGATAGCCACCAGGTCTTAAAAAAAGCAAAACACGCACATTTCACTGGCAACTAACTTTATTATCACTTTCATTCCAGGTCTTGTTCAAGAAGTAAAAAGGAACATGGTCAAAATCTGCAAAGAAAAGAGATCCCTGTATGAACATTGATACTGTAATCTCACAGTGCAGATTAAATGAAAGTGTGTTTTGCTGTTTTATACTGCTTCATACTTTTTGAGATTCCATTTTAATTAAATACCATCAACAGGAGAGGCTTTATATTTTTCCTTAGTTGCATTTATTGTGCACAAATATCCAGAGTCACATTTACTGCTTTTCATACAAATTATATAAATGGTTATACAATAATCACATCAAATCCTGAGTTCTAAAAACAAGATATTTGTTTCTCAAACATTTAGTATAAAATCCTGGCTGCATTTAAGAAAATACAGCTAAAGGAGGAAAGAAACCAAAACACACTTGGTAGTATTAGCAGCAAGTTTCCAACATTCCTGTTTTGTCCCGTAAGTCAGAGTACTATGCAATATAGTGAACAATTATGGAACTAGATCCCAAATTGTATCCTAGAACCAAAATAGGCCATGTTAGTTTTCTTTTGGTTTTCCCGTATAGAACTCTGAGGCCACCACTCTCAACATTTGCTAAGAGATTTTTCCCATTTTTACTCGGAGACTAATCCGTCTCCCCTAAAAGACAAGATCTTGCAGACAAGATGAGTAGAGAGTACGTTGGAAGCAAAAGACTTGGGAAACAAGCAAACAGAAAAATTAACTAGGAATGTGAGAGTGGTATTGTATACTCTGACATCTGAGATGATGGCATAGGCCTAACACAGACTAGTTTCTATATAAAATTTGCTCAAAGTACATAGGAAGGGAACGGTCATTCCAAAATATGGTGTGATTAGTTTTCTATTCCCTTTTGTTGCATGACCCCTCCCACATGTTTGAGTCAAAAGGTATCAACGGTCATCAATTTTGTATTCGAGAGCGCAGCACCTTTTATAGGATTTAAACTTAATACCGTACCTGTCCTAAGACAAAACAGCTTTAAATATTCACATAAACTGGATTTAACATATTTAACACAGAAGCCTTCTCCCTTAATTTATATTTCACCTTGGTTCGTATCATTACACAAAACAATAATTCCTGCTTTTGAAGTTTTTGGAACCATTTAGTAAAAATTCAAGCTACAGAAAACTTGTCAGCACAAATTTCTGTTCAGCTGCTCAGTCACTTTAGCCATGATGCATTTAGTTGTTATATACACTACACTTACTGAAGTGAAATTCTGCTTTTCTTTGGGCCAGTTAGAGGTTTTTGATCAGACACCAGCTTTTGGTATTTGATTAATTTCCCTCTTATACACTTTAGTTTAATTTCCCTTTAAGAAGCAAAAAGACACTGATCCAGAACACAAGTTTTTGCAACTTCCCCAACAGACTAACTGCAGAAGTGCGTATACTGAGTTTTAAGACCTATACAACTTGAAGAAATAGGTAGAACACTGATTTGACAAAGTGTTTAGTGATTCAACCTCTACCATCAGGAAACAAACTAAGGAGAGTTTACACCCTACGCTCTTTCAATTTGGAAAGTAAACGTTTGAGTTCAGGAAGTACAAGAGGCTTTGGCAGCTTGGAGTTAAAAAGTTACAGCAATGCAAAATAAGAGTACTGTTGAATAAGGTTACACAGCTAAACTTGGATCCAGCTTTAGCCCATCAGGAGTTAAAAAGAGAGTCCAAGAAACAGAATGTCTGTTCAAAACTAAACAATTTGATAAAGTCTAGACAATCTTTCCAGTTGTAACAAGGTGCGCACCATGACCATTCATTCGTCCAAAAACATTTCCTCTTTCCAAGGATTATGGAAGTCTTCTGTCCAAATTGGATACATTGCTTTGGATTCTTGATGTATAGCAGCAGCTTTGCAAACATTCTAACCTCTGATCTGCTGTGAGGTTAATGCCAGTAATCTCCTGCTGAGCAGTGCATTGTGTCGTTGAAGATATTCTATCACATCTCCTTGCTTTTCAACAATTTCTTCCAAACTTGAATTTTCCCTGACAAGCACAAGAGAGGGAAGGAGAAAGTCATAAATAATCACTGTAACAAAAGTTTCAAATACACCATCACTGGCTAATAGCAAGATGGGAAGTAACTAATAATACTTCTCCAAACACTATCTATATTTTTTTGGTTTAGTTCTTCTTGTTTTCTTACTAAAAGACAACAATTTGGACCAACAGAAGAAGTTACAGCTGAACTTTAAGCAATACAACTTTGGTCTGAAGGAAAGGATAGGGAATTAAATAGCTAAACAACTATGCCATATTTTGTAGTAGGGAGTAGCATTTTGTAACACATGTTAAACTCTTTTACTACACTCTGTATAGTTACAAAACATGGAAACAGATTACAGAGTTGTTGGGATTTTATTTTTTTTTGGCGAATTATCTAGATGAATGTAAAATTGAGAGACTAGAATTCTGTGGAACACCAAAGAAATTCTTTGGTGCTGCACCCACATACAGCAGGCTTATTTTACTTTGCTGTAGCTAGTATAGCATGTGGGGTATGGGCAGAATCACTTTGAATAAAAAGGAATTCATTCATTCACTTAGTCTTTAGGGTAAAACAGACTGCCAACGTAAATTAGCTCTCTATTAACAATTAATTATAACAATAAACAACTTTTCAAGACTCTTTTCACAGGCTGAAGATCTTAAGGCTTCCCCAATCATACAGAAGTTCATGTAAGTGTTAAGTCTCCCGAATCAAGATAACCCTTTGTTTCATAGACTACTCTTCTTCCACCACTCAGTAATCCATTCACCTAGCAATTGTTCTAGCAGCTACTCAAACTGCTTACACTGATAACACATATTTATAAAAAAAAAATTACTGAAATCCAACACAAGTGGTTACCCGCCACACCCATTCAACATGGGATTGTGGGGAGAAGAGAAAACTAGTCTTAGATTTGAGTACAGCCCAGGGCAGGAGACTGCTGTGGCTCTGGGTCCAGCACAGCCCTTACCCAGAGAGTACATGGAGAGGGGTCAAGGGATGGCAGGGGGTGGTGCACAGTGAGCAGGGCTGAGATCACACAGTATGGGGCAGGGTGCTCCAGCCCTGACTTGGCCAGGTACTAGTAGAGCAAGTGACTGGGAGAGATAGTCTGCCTACCCTCCACTAGTTTTTTTCCCCTGCTTCAGTGGTGCCCCCTGAAAATATAAAATGACCCTCTAATAATTAGATTATATACAAGGCAAATTATAACAAATTTATATTTTTCCCATGGTGGGGGCATGGTGTCGTCTTAAACTCTAAGTGGGGTAAATATGTACGTGTACTTAAATCAACAGCTTCACATCAGCAAAAAATAAGAAAGGCCATGTTACACTATACCTTTAAAGAGGGCTGGTCACAATAGAAAGCTACATACAGACTGGGATGGAGAGGGAAGACAAGAGGGGAAGAACATTTTAATGCATGCTAGCTATCAAGTATTAAATGCCAATGGAGACAAGGCAAACTAAAAAAATAAATAAATAATAATTTTTAAAAAGATCAGCATACATCTTTTGAATATCTGTACATTCGAATGCTATTTGTGTGTATGCAGAATGGAGTTCAGCACAGCAGAGATTACTCTACCTGACCTGTGAGAATAGAGTGTAGGGTTACCATACGTCCAAGTTTTCCCAGACATGCCCTCTTTTTTGGACCCCTGTGCTACATCCGGGTAGGTTTTTAAAATAAGAGCAAATGTCTGGGTTTTCTGCTCTTCTGGGCTGGATGCTCGGGGCTGGAAACAGCAGGCAATGCGACTGGCTGCCAGGGGGGCATGTGCTCCCCGTGTAGGCTCTGGCAACCAGGGACAGGGACTGTGTGTGAGCCAGTGCGTGCACAATGCAGGAACTGCAGGCCAGGAGTGAGGGGCACTGGCAGGGCTGGAAGGGGCTGTGGATTGGGCATGAAAGGTATGGGGGGGACGGGATGGGTGACTGTGGGTTGATGTGCAAGGCACTGGCAGTGCCAGGGAACTGTGGGTTGGGAGAGAGAGGCATCAGCAAGGTGTGGGGGGCAGGGTACTGCATTTTGGGAGCGAGGGGAACTGGGGGGGGGCACCAGCATGTCACTGCCCCCCCCCTCCCCCATCATATTTCCACCAGCCCCTCACCCCAAAAGGTGTCCTTTTTGGACCTGGAAATATGGTAACCTTAAGAGTAGGGACCAGCCCTAGTTTTTAGCAGAACTTTTGTGAAAAAAAAGAGACACATGCCCAAGTCAGAGCTACAGGCAGTCCTCAACTTACAACGTTTTGCACTTAGTGTTTATAAATTGACACTCTGTTTCAACTTTCTGACATCAGTTTCAACTTCACAATGCTTGATCTGACACCAAGTCACGCCAGCGAACAAATTCGCTGTGTTACCCATCTCTCTGGAGAACATCTGTCCAAACTTCCTTGGACATCTTCTTTAAGAAAGCAAACAAGACTCCAGAAAAACCTGCAGCCAAGACTCCTGAGAAGACTCCAGCCAAGAACCCTTCAAAAAGTCCAGCAAAGCCTCCTCAAAGAAGTCCTTCCAAATCAATTGGATTGTTACTTACAATATAAATACATTAATGTAGATATATTACTCATCTATAAATTGACTGAATACAAAGTTCTAGGTTATTTTTGGTGAAAATAGGGTAATCGGGCCTTGGTTCAGGAACCAACCCCCCATTTACAACATGGGAAAAATTGGTTCCAAGTTGCAACGTTTTGACTTAAGACGCGATTTTCATGAACCAACTGTGTCATAAGTCTGAGGACTGCCTGTACGTTCACAGAACATCTCAAATAATCAGTTACTGCAAGGTAAGTCACCTTTCTTCGCTTGCTGAGCTGAACTATGGCTATCCTAATATTTTATAATTAACCAACGTATTAAAAGTTCTCTCTTTCCATAGTGTGCACATGGATTAACTGGTCCATAAACCAGTTTGTAAATATCTATAACAGCATGTCAACACTGTACCATGTTCCATTTCTAACATGCTCACATTACACAAGTCCCTCAAGAAATGTTACTACTTATCTACTTTTGCTGGCAGCTTTAAGATCCTTTTTTTTTTTAACCCTAACTGAATTACCAGCACTATTTTTTATTACCTAGAAAATTTATGAATGAGAGTTTAAGACAGAAGAGATTACCTGAATCCAGTTTCTGAGATAATATGGCAGGGGTAAGCGTACATTTTTTCTTCTTCAATTATATCAGGCCTGGATTTTGCCTTGTTGAAATTGCTTATTTTTACTGCAATGGAAGAAGTTTAAAAAAGTAGTTAGAGAGGACTTAAACAACTGTAGAATGACCTTATATCCAGGACTTTTCTACTTGGCTTAAGCAGACTCCAAAATACCTTGAAGTGGCAGCTAGGCAAAAAGGAAAGACACCAAACAAAGGATTCAAGTTACAAGTTGGGAATTGCCTTTTCCTGTCGCTGCTCAAACTAGTAAAAGAGTAGGCCTTAGAGGCTGTGGCACTGTCAGTAACTGTGGGAACTGCAAGCGGCCCAAGTATAGAGACTGCATCACAAAGGCTTTGGACACTAACAAAAGGGTTTTTTTAATACTTCTTTCCTTTAGCTAGACTGAATAAGGTTCTCAGCCTTATTTTGAACTAATTTAGACTAATATCGAGTCAGAATATTAAGCGAGGCAAAAATAATGTTAAAATAAGGGTTTAGGTGCCAGTTCGTAGTCAGGACTCTTGTCCCACCAACCTCTTCCTTAGATGAAGATTGTTTTACTAGACCACCTGCTAGGCAGAGGCAGGTTGCCTGCCTCAGTTACTCCTATGATCAGTCAGAAGTGTCATGGAAAAGTTGTAAAGTAATCAGACCAGATTGGCCCTTAGTGATCTGCTTCCACCTCAGACATTAAGTATCAAAGACAGACATTCCAGCGTATCATGAATGAAGACTATTAAGTTAATAGGCATGGAAGGGGAGGAAGGACTTTCAACCTGGAACCTTCATTGTCTCCTCTTGGCAACTGAAAGCGCTGAGAACCTTGCTCAGAGTAAGAACAGAGCACTAGAAAAAGACACTGAATGTTACACTGTATAAATATTTCAATCTGGCCTAAGTACATTAGTGCATGAACTGCCCTGTTGAAATAATAGGCTCAACATCTGAAGTACAGCACCATCTAATGCCAGTAAGAGCACTCACAAGATGATCTTGGGAAACCAAGTTACTCAAGACAAATGAAGGGGAAAGAATAAACTGTCCTTCACAGAATAAATACTACAGAACTGATTTAAAGGTCATTCTGTTAACGCTTTGAGCTTAACTTGTAACTAAATTTACCAATTCTATGAGGGCATCAGTCTACACAAAAAGACACTTAAGACAACAAAGGAACTTAAACTGTATTGGATGGGTGCATTATTCTTATTCAGCATTATAAAAACAAAAACAAGTTTACAAAAATAGTGGAAAGCGTCTAACAGACTCACAATTCATAGGATGCTTCCTGGGGCAGTCATGAACACAGAAAAGTTAATTTACTTAACAAGTACTTTTTGAAGTATCCCTACCCCAGAATGCTTCTTGGTCAGATATTAAGTCACCTGTCTGCATATCATTAGTTTGAGTTCCATAAAGACCAAGCCATAATCTGTTCAGTGACCTCTACTGAATTGAGAGGTTAGTTGTTTGACAACTTCTGTATGCTAGTTTAGCTATTTAAGGTTAGCAAGTGATTTTTCCCTCCCTACCAAAGCTGTTAAAATTGGTATAACCCAATATGTAGACATTTCAGCATAATAGTGCATTATTCGTTTCCCTCATCTCTAATACACGCCTACATAGAAATAACTGCAGTTAACCTTCTTTAGCTAACTTCCTTAGTGTAATACCAAATTGAAGTGGTTTATAAAACAAGGTATTTACTCCAAGTAAGTGGCACATAGAAACAAGCTTTGTTTCATGTAGGCAAGTCTGACCTGGTTTATTGCATTCCCATTAAAAAGAGTATTACAGCCAAATTTCCAGATCTGCATGAATACTAGAAAGTTACCACCACACAGTCATCAATAGTATACTCTTTCCATACTATGAATGACAAACACACTCTTGAAAAGTAACAGAGGTCTGGGATGCAGCAAGCTATTTAACAGGGTGACAAGTACATAGGGGAGACTGAACAAAAGTTATTAAATATCTAGGTTTAGCAGAGGTTTGGAAATTTATAATCCAGTTAAGAGAGCCATGTTGGTAGGGGATCTCTTAATTGAAAGACTGCCCCATAGTAGCCCTTTACACCATTCATGCTGCAAAAAACATGTCCCCCTCCTCCACCACACCTTCAAGATTTGCCCTAACCAAAAAGTTTACAAACTACAGTGAACTGCTACAAAGTCTAAAAGACAGAATGATTATTCACAGGTTGTTTCCATATACCATAGATCCATATGCAAAATTTAGAACATCACACTGCCTTTATTTAAGTAAAGCTAGTTTGCATATGTACAGCCACTTCTGAGCATTGTTTAAATGTTTCTCAAAACTGCATCAAAATTTCAGATGACACCAACTAGATGAGTGACTCATGTAACACACTATGGATAAGTACTATTGTATACTACAGCCATTTTCTGTCTTTAAGTGATTTTTCAGACTATACATATAGGTCTACTTCTCCCCAGTTCAACATTTTCAGTTTTGTTTTGAGACATTTACCTAGAATAATGTAAGAGGAACTGCAACTAACAGCACATGATCAACAGTATAAAAATATGCCAGGTTGGACATGTTAACCCTTAACCCTTCATTAAGAGCAAAACATGTTTTAGCTGCAACTACAAAGCAATTATCAATGATTGACCTAAGGAGTGTGCATGTTATTCAATATTTAAAAAAATTAAGTCTTGTAACTAATCACTAATTAGGACTGCCACTGATCTGGCAATACAAAAAGATAATTACCCATTTCTTTGCTAGGGGAAGGCTCTCTCTCTACTGACCAGGAGTCATCTGGTTAACATGGTGCAGCTCTTTGAAGTTATTTTCCTGAGTTAATGGTGTAATACATAAAAAACCCAGATGATTTTTGTTTAACAGTCTCTCAAAACTAGGAAAGATTAAACCACAATACTTCTAAAGGGGAAAAGAGATACCAGAGGTCATTCCTTTATTTCATAAATTGGATAAGTTATCAAACTTGAGATGTTTCAGAGTTCTTCAGGTCAGGTTGACACTAGATCACATTTGCTAGCACACCTAAAGAGACGCAAGTCACCTGTGTCGACAGAGTGTCCACAATGCTAACCCCCAACAAGAATTTGCATAAACCCTAGCTTCCAAAATTACTAACTGTGTTTATCACCACTTCCGTTTTAAGCTAGCCACTTTAAGTGACATTATCTTACTAGTAAATGGATTCCTATCAAGTGTTTGTTTTGCAGGAAGAACCTTACATACAATGAGAAAAAGCATGGTCCTCTAAGCTGTAAGTTGCAAGATAACAAGCCTACCATCCAGTTAAAAAGCCTTCATGTTTGCGGTCGGGTAATTTTCCGTTCTATCAGACAAAGATAAAACCGAGGGCAGAAAAACTGAGGACAAACACTGGACTGAAAGTGGCATTAGAATCTCTTCTGTGACCCAACAGACATTTTGTTTCAGAACAGCTTCAGTCTGACCTTAAGCAGCATTTCTTGTGTATGTCAAGGTATTATGTGGCACTGAGTCTCTCGCTCCTCTCATGCCAATATCCTCTGCCTATCTAGTTTACAGTATAGCTTAAATCTACATCAATTAGGGATTACAGAAAGACAGAGAGATTCCTCATCTTTAAATAGGCATGAAGCTCAATTACAGCAAACATTTATTTAGGCCCAGGAAGGTTTAGAGAATGAAGTATATCTTCAGATGCTACTATAGAAACTAACTTTTTCTACCAATTGATTATTAGTTAGAATAGTACAAAAGAACAAGTCTGAGAAAGGCATTCCCTTTTTCTGCTCTGAGGCATCAAGAAGCTTAAGGATGAAAAGCACTTTGTTTAGAAACACAAATTTTTGAAAGCAGAACCTTTTAGAATTGCCTGGTACCTTCATTTAAGGAACAGGGTGGAGGTTGAAAATGGTAAGAGCTTTTTTAATAGAGAAAGAATTTTTGTCAGAAAGTTCAAATCAGAAGTAGACACAACAGGATTCCAAATCTTTCCTTGCTGAACTACTTTCTTAAAAAAAAGTTAGGGTTATTCTGCTTGTGGTAGAAATCCAAATACTACTTCTACACCTTGTGTTTTAACTTTTGAAAATGGGGGAACATAACTAGGGCATTACTAGTTACCTGCATATGCATGAGTTGTATATTCCTAAATATTTTAAGTTTCTCACATTTTTTACTATGAGAGTATCTGGTATCTTTTAAACCGGGGCAGGCAATTATTTTGGCTGGAGGGCTGCTTACCGAGGTTTGGTGAGCTCTGCAGGGCCTCGTTGATAGCCCCACCCCTTGACAGCTGCCTTAGCCCCTGGTCACCATCTTGGGACCAGAAGTTCCGCCCCCTAGCCCCTGACCTTTGCCACTGGAAGTCCTCCCCTTGACCTTCTAACACCTACTATATTTTAGTTTTATTACAAAAAATATTTGTCGTCATGATTTGTATTTGTGCATATAGAGTGTAGTGTATATAGATAGAGGCGATTGCATATCTAAAAATAAAATCTTAGTTTTGTATTGTGTGCGTGAACATGATGGGGTGGGGTGTGTGTGAGGAGCAATAGAGAATGTTGGGGGGGGTATATGTGGGAAGGTTGTGAGGGCAGGGTGTGGGTGTGCTATGTTTATGGGGTGAGGGAGGGTGTGGAGACCCCTCCCCCATATGGCGCACAGCTCCTACAGGCAGCAGCACCATCAGGCAGGGGCGCTTAGGGTGTGCATGCCCAACACTGCACATGGGGGTGAGGAGCACAGCCCAGTCAGGCTGCCTCTATTGCCGGGGCTCCCTGCCAAGCACATGCAACTCCTGCACTCACATTCCACACACTAGAGCCAGCTGCCTTCCCTGCCCCCTGCTGCGCAGGTCCCAGGGAAGGCAGCCAGCTCCAGTGTGTGGAGTTTTCCTCTGGTGGCACACGAGTGCGGGAGCTGCATGCACACATTGGGGAACCCCGGCGATAAAAGCAGCCCAGCCAGGCTGTGCTCCTCGCTCCACTATGTAGCACTGGCCGGAGCCACGTGTCACTGGGCACTAGCGCCTGTGCTGGACATTAGCACCCCCACCTGCTGCTGCTGCCTGTAGGCAATGCATGAAATAGGGAAGTGTGTGTGTAGGTCTGTCTGTATCTGTAGGGGATCCTTCCCTCATACCTACAGTCTGCCCACCCAAGGTCCATACTGCCGCCATCATGGGATCCGTGCTGCTGCCAGCCCCAGCCCCAGCCCCATGCTCTGTGCTCCCACCCAGCTGCAGTTTCCCTGCCACCCCTGCCCCTGCTACTTCCCTACCTGCTGCTCAGAGTGAGCAGGACACTGGGAAACCCAAGCAGGTCTACTGGCAGCTATAGCAGTAGCCCCACATGGAAGCTGCATGCTGACTGGGTCAGGCCCTTCCACCCACAAGCGTCTGAGGAGTGAGGCACAACAGGTATGTTGGCGGAAGGGTGTGCATTGTGAGTGCCTCACTCCCACCCTCGTGAGAAGGGCAGGGAGAGGTACAATTAGTTGTTGGGTGCCATGGGTCAGATGGAGTGCCTGGCAGGCCGGATTTGGCCTGCCCTTGATTTTAACAAACGTGCTCACCTAGAAATAAGCCTTTTTTATTTTTTTTTAAGTTTCATTTTTGTTAAAGGCCTGTTGAGAATGTATAGTTAACTCTTCTGCTACAGCAATTCTACTCATCATCTGTAGTACATAGATTGGTCAGTTTTTCCAATGTTAATAAGTATTTAATATCTATATTCCTCATCTATAACTATTCAGAGGCTCCAATTTGTTTTTCAGCCTTATGATGATGTCTATTTTAACCTCAACACCAATATAAAAATACATTAAATACATATTTAAGGTGCGTTATTTTGCAGAATATAAAAGTGTATATTACACTGGTAATAACATTCTGCAGGTACAAGTTACTAACTTTTTCTCTATTCCTAAAAGTTGTAAAATAACTTTGTTATAAAATACAAGAGAAGGCTGAGAGGGGACCTGGTAGTCATCTATAAACTTACCAGGGGGAACCGGGGGAATAGGAGAGACCCTGTTCACCCGAGCACCTCCCTGAGTAACAAGGAATAACAGCCATAAGTTTTTTGAGGCTGGACATTAGAAGGCACTATTTCGCAGTCAGGACGGCTAGGGTCTGAAATCAACTTCCAAGGGAAGAGGTGCTGGACCCCCACCCTTGGGGGGCTTTAAGAGGAGGCTTGACAATTACCTAGCTGGCGTCATACGAGCCCAGTATTCTCTCCTGCCCAGGGCAGGGGGTCGGACTTGAAGATCTACTTGGGTCCCTTCCGACCCTGCATCTATGAATCTGTGCGTTTCATTTACAGGGAATGACAAAGTTTAAAAGAAAATTAGATATTTAATTATGTTTCTTGCTTTTTTGGCTCTTGTCATCATTAAAAGGTAGTCACCCCAGAATAGTTCTGTTTCATATTTGTATAATAGTTCAGTGATATGTCAACCTTGTACAAAAGTAATCCTGCAAGACAGGTTTAAGATGTTAACATAGGATACAGGTATGCCACAGTACTCCAAAATGTTTAAAGCAGCTTCACATAATTAGATAGGCTGCTTGGAAGAAAGCTTTCAGGAGGCTGAAAAGTGGCATTTTTAGAGGAGTTCTACGCTTCAGAAATACCAGGTTAATTTTGGGGGGGGAAAAACGGGAAGAAGAGGTTGAAAGAAAAAGGAATTAGAAAAGGGAACTGTAGGTTTAAAAGCTGTGAAGTGTCAGTCATAAGCTCAGATATTTAGAAGTTCCACAAGCCTAGAGAGCTCTCTCACACACACACACACACACACACACACACACACACACACACACAGAGCAAGATGCATATTTCTCTTTAAGTGCCATGGTTGACACTCTGGTGAGAAGATTGATCTTTATTTGCTGGTGGGCTTCCAAACCACTTTTACCATGGTATGTTTGGCATTAACTACTCTTAAAATTATTGCAATTTCACTGTAGCTTCATGAAGAAGTGACTTCAGTTTTGCTACCACCAATTCTAGCTTTTTATTTGACAACATGTAAAGATCAAACCAAATCTAACAAAGACCATCCTGTTTGTTTTAACCAGAACATTTGAATTATCTTCACCAAGAGCAGGGGTGGTATGAAGGACCCACTTCTACATGCATAGCTGCAATGCAGAGTCATATGGTGCTAAGAGGTAGAGCATTATGCTAAGAGAGCAGAGGAAAGGAGTTTAGTAGTTAGTGAGGAGATCATATTCAAAGACAACGATTAAAGTGCTCACCTGTGTAAACGACTAGGGACGTCAGAGAACAAATCAGCTCCAGAGCTAGGATTCCCAGGATTATATACAGATATATTCTGTTATTGTCAGGAAAAGAATGCTGAGCCGATAGTATCAGAAGCAGGGCTGCATTTCCTGAAACAAACATTAACAACATTTCCCAATTGTTACAATCTAGCCAATTAGTAACAAATCACTCAAAACTCCTTCCCCAAATCTGTTTTTGCTGGGCTAGTTTGTTTAGCCATGTTATGAAAAAATAATGGGGCAAATAAATTGCCTTTACTTCCATAAAAGTTTAAGTAATAAATAGATTACAGTCCTTTGACTGCTGTTACTTGTGAACATGTTAGGGTACATAGGTCCTTCAGATCATAACATTCATCTAGTCCAACAAGATCCTGAGCTTGGGTTCTGAATCTCTTGAAATCTCAAATCACAACCAAGGCAGACAGCTATGTGCTCTTGTTTAAGCATCTTTTATATTTTCTAATACTCTGAATTTTTGGTATGATAATCTTGTTCTGCATATCCAGTCAGAGCTCTGTGCTTACAGTGATACTACCATAAAGCCATCACTTCAGTTTAACTTATGTAAGTGAATTTTAACGGTTAAAAACACACAGAAGTACAAAGTCATCTCTGTATGCAGGGAGGAGTTTTAAACACCTGTCTCAATGACTGAAAGTGTATGTTATTATAAGTAGTATGTGAAAAAGGAAGACATTCTGCTATTCTGAGTTATGAAATGACCTTCCAAATAAAGTCCAACAGATCACAAGCTTGATTTTATTCAGTTCTCTTGGTACTGAATTCTTCCATATGAGTGGGAAGGAAAAGATATGAACCATTGCTATACACAGCATGCACCCTCATTAACTCTCTATTGTAACCTCCAGCTATTCTCAAACCAACCCATCCCTCTATGCATGTAGATTTGGTCCCATCTAAAACAGACAAGAAGTTCTTCAGAGAACAGATCAGGTGCTTCTTTCCATGCTACAGAGTTCCTATGATATTCTAAGCAATTTAATGGAAGCATCCATGTAGAAGACACAGTAGAAGACAGCTTTGAACTTCCTGGCTTTAGAAGTATCCTGGTTATTCCACGATGGATAGCTAAACTAGTTAGAGCCAAAATGAGAGTTTTCACTTCACTGTTCTTTCACTATGGTGAAATCAAAAGTTCTCCATACCAAACAACGTTTAGCTTGTATTGTTATATACTTTAGACTTTAACCATTACGGGTACTAGATGCCACAAACTTACAGGAGAAACCTCCCCCCCCCCCCCCAAAAACACCTCTTTGTCTGAAAGTATTAGAAAAAAGCCAGGCTTGTTGCAGCTTGATTCTGGATTGCACTTTAGGCATCAATCCTCATTGTCAGAGCTCTACCTAGTGGCCATATCCTGATGTTTCTCCCACCTGAGGGAAATTTAGGCTTTTGGACATGTAAAACTGAAACTAAAACTGTAATTCTACTGGCTATCAGGATTGGTGGGTGAAGTTTATTGTTCACTTATCCAAAGTACAGCATGTTCTCAACTCAGTCAATAGTTCCTACAGCAAGAATCCCTTTCTAAAGTCACCATAAATTCATTTTTGACAAGGAATTAGATTTTTTTTTCCTGAAAAGTGGGCAAGAGCTTCTCAGTAAAAAGGAGGTTTTCCATGCCATCCCTGAAGTCAGGAAAGAGTAAAACTGTAGAATACTACCACAAATCGGTTTCTCCCCAGAAAAAGAAAAGCAAAGTTAAACTGATCACCCTGTTGATGGCTGAGGAAATTTTTATTTTACCCAATATTAGCCAACTGAAACTTTAGCCACAGGCAGCTTATTGTTTTCATTAGAAGTCAAGTATGCTTGGACAGTGACAAAGGGAATGCTGCTGCCAAGGGCCTTTTACTTTTCAATGTTCCATTCTGTACTTTCAGGCTGCATCCAGACAAGTGCGTATGTGTGGTACATGGTGCCATGGACCCGTCTGTGATGCCACACATCACACATGTGGTTGTTCCCTGCACAGCTACCTTGCAGCATAGGACTGTTGTTTTTATTTTTTTAACCCAGAAATCCCGGGGTCAAAAAAAAAAAACAACAACAAAAAAACACCATGCCAAAAAAAGATAAAAATAGTGGGGCAGTTTGTGTGGCAGCAGTGTGTGCCGCTCAAAACTGGAGCCTGGCTGGCTGGAGCCATGGTCTGGCTGCCGGCCAGGCTCCCAGCTCCAGGAGTGCTGCAGCTCCCCGAGACTCCCAGGTAAGGCTGCTGGGGCTGGCACAGTGGCTGGCACCAGCCTCCCCTACCCCACCTAGGGTAACCTGCCCCATGCCAGAAGGCATGGTGGCATGGGCGTTCCCCAGGGACAAGTAGGGGCGGCATAAAGTGTGTTGCTGCTGCTTGTCCCCAGGGAAACGAACACCTGCGCTCATGTGGACACAGCCTTGGAGGGCATCTCTTGGAAAGGATCTTTTCACATATGCAGCTGAAGAAACTTGCATGAACTGACCATCTAACTATTCCTATATCCACCCTTTATTTTAAAGATGCCACGTATCTCAATTCCATTTTTCCATCCCCAAATGTAATTTATTCTTGTTAAGAAGTTTGACAAAGAATAAAATTTCTGAAATTTGATTGCAGAGTCCAGATCAGAAGGCTGTTAGCTTTCTAGAAAAATGGGAGCCAACTGTTTTTGCGAGGAATGCCACATATTAGGCATGCCCCATCCCGAGTGCCACCCTGATCCCCTTATTCTGCCCAGTCTGCTGCTCTGCTTCCCTACCAATGTGCCACCATGCTTGCTGCCTATTCCCTCCCTAATCTGCCATGTGCCACACACAGAACCAGTTGTGGTACTATTCAAAGCCTTTATATCCATCTTACTTTAGAAAGGCTTTGAAGTCTGTGCGCCTATTAAATGCTTCAGCTCACAATATTTACCAATTTACTCCCAAGTAATATTTACCAAGCTCACAATATTTAGCAGTGTAAATTAACAGAAACAGCCAAAAATACAAACAAGGTCAGCTCACCTGTTGAGTGTACCACTAGCGGAAGCCTTTTAAGATGTCTAGTCGATCGGTAGATGGAGAGGTAGCCTCGGCTTCTGGCTTTACTGTGATGATACTGGACATACCGTTCAAACAGAACAAGCAGAATCCATAGAATTACTTTTGCAATTACTACTACAGTCTGTACCTTAAAAGGATAGGTGTAGTTTTTAGGGCACTTATCTTCATTTGGGTGAGGATAAGAACAAAACATGACTGCTAAAAATACTAAGACAACAAATGCAACCTGGGGAAAAAGGGAAAAAATTAGGGTTAGCACCTACAATTTTAGGAGAAAAAGTAGTCATACCAACCCATTTACTAGGCATTAGTTAACCCAGAAAAGCTTAGTTAAACTGCAACCGCCTCCCTCTCCCCTGCTCCCAGGGGGACCCAAGTAGCATGGCAAAGTACTTGCTTCTCAGTCTGTGGGCTCTGGAATGCAAAGCAGGCAAGGCTTGTGGCATTGCTCCCATGGGAGCCAAGTGGACCAAGCAGCACAGCAATGTCCCCTGCCTGCAACCCACTCAGTGGATGCCAGTGTGCAAGGAGCTTGCAGAGAGAAGTTGGCAGCTGCTGCTTCTTTCTCTCCCTGGTTTACAGGAGGAACAGGTACAGTTGTTACCCTAGGCCATCTCTAGACCAGGATGACCCTGTTCTCCAGAAGAAGGCATGCAAGCCTTTCCCTAAGCTCAACTGCTCCTGGGGACCAAGAGGAGTAAAGTCATGGGAAAGTGTACAAGCATTTGTTCTCCAGGAGAAACTCTCCTGCAAATACTTCTACCTGGCTGGAGTCAGGTTATTTTTCTCCTGGAACCACCATTTTTGTCTGGGATAAGCACTGTGAATGTTTGTACGCTTGTGGTTTCTACTGGGAGAATGGCGATTCTCCTGGTAGAAGTGGAACGTCTGTACACAGCCTTCCCCTCCCCTAAAACTTACATGTATAAGCAACAAAAAATTGGCAATGAATACTGTAGGAATAGTATAGAATCTTGGTCTCAGCCGGGAATGCAATGCATGAGATGGAAGGAGTGGTGTGTCAAGTAGATGATCATCTTCTGTGCTCTGAGTTATCTCCAAGGACCCCTGAAATTTAAGAAAAGGAAGCTTCAGAACAGCTTTGCAGGGAAGCATGTCTATTTGGTGTATTCCACCCTTCCTCCTTGCATGCCCCTCCCACACACACCTTTTAAAGATGTTTGTTGGCAACCTCTTGTACAACAATACTTCGTGCTGTTTTATAAGAACACCAATTAAGATAGTATCATGTGCCATTCCTCAAGTCACATACTAAAACTAAGAGATATTTAGTTTGACAAAATATTGGGTTGTAAGAAACTGACATTAGATGACCATACCACGACTCAACTGCCCATTCTGGAGGGAGCCTTTAGCCCTCAAAAGGTTTTTTTTAATAATAGAGTGCTTCTGAGACTTGATACCTTAGAATGTCCAGGGATGATACCTTCTTCACCATATTCAAAACCAGAAAGTGAAACATTCGATGGCTGAATGGAAGTCATTAAAAAAAAAAAGTTATCTTTAGAAATGTTTAACTTTGGGCTGATGTTTGGGGGAGGGGGGGAGGAGATAGAGTGTGAGGACCATACACACTGTGAACTTTGTTGTTTGTTCCTCTTTGTTACTAGCTTTTCCCTTCTGTATATTTTCTTCTGATGATGCTAGTAGACAATCATCAGCTCTCACCTCACGAGACAGTAAAGGTCACAATTGCATCACTGGCAGCCTTTAGTTACTTGGCCACAAATGTCAACAGTTTTTGCCTACTGGTTACAAACAATAAAACTTGGGATCTTGAAAAGCCTGTGCCAGATCACACTGTCCCCACAAAAAACCTTGGTTGGGAGCAGCAAAGTTACCACAGCTGAATGTATTTCAGGGGTCTTAATATTTTTAGAAAACCTGACAAGTCAGCTCTAAACCAGTTGCCTGCTGTTGCATTTTTTAGGGGGATTTTGTGGGGGTTTTTGGCTGCTAAAGCTCTGACGAACCAAGTCAGTACCATAAGTCTGCTCTTATACTGCTTTCATTACTGTAGCTTCCAGCTTCCTTGGGTGTAGAGATCAAGTTCATAAACACATTTGCAAATTTGATTTCTTCTGCCTCTCAGCTTAATATCTTCTGCCTCTGCTGCAGCAATCCAGTTTGAAAAAGAACAAAGCCAATAAAAATAAAATAAAATACCCCCCCCCCCCACACACACAAAATGCAAAAAAACACCCCCATATAGCTCTCACTCACCACTGAACACTGACGGCCAAGTCCAGCAAGACCCATCAGCCCTGGATTCTGTGGCAGGCCCCAGCCCTCATTCAGCCCCGCTAGGAGCTATGCAGGCCAAAAGGAAAGTCTCAGCAGACTGGATGTTCTAGGACAGGGGTGCTCAACCCCTGGCTTGCAGGCCACACTCAGCCATGACACTTGGCCCACAAGGCTCCCCAAGGGTCCAGAAATTTAGCAGTGGCAGACTGGTGGCAATGAATGTCACCACCATCCCCACCACCACCAGATTTCCAAGCCCCATGTGGCTGGATCACCCCTGGGCAGGCCATTGCTACATGGCAGGACTGGGCCCTGGACAGGCCTGCCTTGTATGGCAGATCCAGCCTGTGGGCCAGCCTGGCACTGGCCATCAGGCCTGGCGAGCAAAATATTTGGGCACTATTATTTTAGAATACTTACACTTTTAGAACATGGCAACTTCCATTACGATTTTCCTAAATACATTCATTTGATTTAATAACTAGCTATTTGGTGGGGTATACCGTCAAAGCATCAAGTCATACGTCTTTGAGTAAGGCTGACCAAAAAATCCAGGAGGATAGCCCTTTAATTATGAAAACTCCTCAAGACTAGTTTTAACATTTCCAAAAATTATAAAGGAAAAATCCCTTTCAACTTTGAGGCCCTTCCCCATACACTATGAACAAAAAAAAGCACATACGTGCCCACTGGTGTTAATTTTTTTGCAGTACACCCCACGAGCAGAACTTGTTAAGTGGGCAGCAGCTCCAGACTTGTGTCATGTGCAGGCTACATAAGACCCACAGGTTGGCTCAGAAGGCCAAATCATGAGATGCAAATGCAAACAGGGAAGCAAGATGTATTTACTGAAATCTAGGGCTGTCTGGAAGGCTGTCAAATATAAGAACCAAAACAAACTTATTAGTCTTAAAAGCCCTTTTGTTACACTGAAACTCTTACCAAGAAAATACACGTCAAAGACTGGAAACAAGGAAAGCAGTAAAATTATTCTCTGATCTGAAAGCAAAGCTACCTGCTACCATGTGGATGAAGTAATAGAGAATACAGATTGACAGCTGAAGACGTGGTATTCAGCCTGCTATAGCCTTGACATAGGGCATCGTGTTCTATTAGCATGCCCTATCAGACTGTAAACATCTTGCACTCCAAAACAAGAGTGGTCTAGATGGTTTTCCAGCATGCCAAATGCTACCTTCAACAGAATACGTTTCAACTGCTTCAATACCCAGAGTACCATTCCAGAAATGTGTATTTTAGTCTCCAATTATCCAAAACCATTCACCTCGTCTTTCTACCACTAGCCTGCAGCACACCAGCAGCCCTTCAGCATTTCCTAGAATGTCCTGCTAGGCACAGGGCACTAGGTTCTTCTCAGTGTAGTTCCATCGAACTAGACAGTCTAGGATTTGCTCTTAGGCAGTTAGGGAAGTATTATTGAGCAGTGACAATGTAGACCTGTCAAACCATTAGTTTTTAGGTCATCTTCATAGAAAGCAGGAAGACACTGATAAGATGTGTTTGTTTCATGCAGCTCTCGCATGTCCCAGTGACAGCATTAGCTAGTTTGTAGGCAGACACCAAAACCATTTCACCATCAGCAGTAGCCCACCTTTGACACTGAAGCAAGCATGAGAGGTCATAATGATGGTGAAATCAACTGTATCCTTAATACACCCTGAAAAACCTCACAATACAGGGCAGCAGAAGCTGACCACCCAGTAATCAGCTATGACCCATTTGGAAAAAAATTCAGACCTAAAGCTTGTATTTGCAGAACATATGCAACTCATTTAAAGTCCATGGGAATTGTTTGCATCCTACAAGCCTTAGGGATCTTTGGGAAAGAAGCAAGTTGGGACAACTGATATTTATAGTCTTACTTAAAATATAATATAGTTCTTACGATTACTTTCCAAGAAGAGAATTGCTCAAGGCCAGCCATTCCTCTTATACAAACTGCTCTTTGCCTTTAGACTTTGAGTTTTCTGCAAGAAACAGATTTATGAAGAGAGACTGACTGTTGCTCACTTAGCGAACCAGCCTTAAAAAAAAAATTTTTTTTTTTAAATCCTCCGATACTCCTGCCCCACAACGGGTTTTTTTGGTTAGGAGCTGAGTGATCACCTAATCAGACAAGCAGAAATACTCTTCAGAGGCTCAAAAGAGATGAAAACTGCACCCTGGCTTCTAAGAGTATGAGGGATGTTCTATGGATGTCTAAGGATTCCTAGACACAGAAGTCTTACAAACTTATCTGCTCAGACTCAAATTTATTTATTAGTTTGCCATTAGGAGATGTTCCAGTAAAAGGAAGGCAAGAAATCTGAAAAGAAAGAACTTTTCAACCCTTGAGTTTCCTGACTGCAGCAAGCTCTAATCAGATGTGCCCTTCTTTCACATCCACATTTCAGGGGGGTTCTTTTCAGGACAGATCATATGCCATTCTAACAAAAACACCAAACAGTAACTAATGGCCCTGGTATATAATAGGGGTTGTAGACATACTGCAGTGAACACCCCCCCCCAACCACAAACAAACAAAAAAACAAACCCTTTCAATTTCTGCCTCTACTACTACCTGGTTGAGGGAAATTGTATACAACTTATTGTTAGATCTTCAGCCATTGAAACCTACAAAACAAGATTCAAGAACATTTTGTATAAAAACCTTTAGTTTCCTGGAAACTTAGTTTTCTGTTTAGATTTATATGGATATGTTTTCCTGCTAAGTTTGACAACCATCTAGTGTTTATCTATGCTGGAAGAATGAGGATTACTGCATCAGAGTCAAAAGTGATGGACAAATAGAATGTACTGTTCACAATAAGCACAATCATCTGATACGTGGAACTTCTAACTCAAGAAAGCTAAGTGCTTTGACAAAGCTATACTCATACAGTACTACAAACCTTGGTTAAAGTCAGCAACACCTGTTCTTCCAAGTCTCACTATTATAAGACTAAATGCAAGATCCTATTTTTGAAGGTTTTGGCCAGAGTGTGAACAACAGTGTAAACAGGATAGCAAAGTTAGTATGAAGTTTAAACCATTCTTTTCTTTAAATTTAAAAGCAATTCCCTCTCCCCTTTCCAAGTCACAAACTGTAGAGTTTACTGCACCTTTTAAATTATCAGACTCTTCCACACAAGTGTCATCCTGCTCATACCACTTCTCCAATTAAAAAAGCAAAGCGCGCTTAAGGAGTTGCAGAATCAGGACCTTCATTTAGGTTTTGTTTGTTGCCTATACATTTTGTAAAGCGTTTTTCAGATAACTTGCCAAAAAAATTAATTTGGAGAGAGACAGAGAGACGCACGGAGACCCCATTCTAAAGTCTAAACTTTTAACCAATTCCCAGGATCTATTTTGTAGCTGTGTTGGTCTGGAGGAAAAAAAAAAGAGAAACACAAAGCTCTAAAATCTCTTGGTTCAGAGGTAATACCTTTTATTAGACCAACTAAAAACATCTCTGAACCAAGAGTTTTAGAGCAGTGTGTTTCTCTTTTAACCAGTTCTGTCACCAGTTCACACACCGCCGCCTGCTGGAGCATATCTTAGTACAATTTTTTTTTTTTTTTTAATGGAACCCTTTAACTAATATATTCAAATTGGACAGCTTCTCTAATTTTGAAGTCACCTTAAGCTAGATAGATATATATCAGCGTAATCTGTTGCACTAAGAATATCTTTTATCTTTACAATAGAATGTAAATATTGGCATTTACTCCAAAGGCAAGGACTTTCAAGTTTCATTGTACAGAAGAGTATCATCTCAAGTGGGTTCCACTGAGGTATCAGGTGCATGAAGATTCTTCATGTAGATTCAATTGGATGAAAGTTGGTTCATATCAATTCTCAACTGTTCAACTCTGAAGAAAAGGTAGTTTCCCTCTCTGAACAGCAAACTGGTAGGAGAGAACTGTATTTCCTATTCTAGAAAACTTGAAGGACATCTGGCCCAATTACCAAAGCAATTTAGACCTTGAACATGTCAATAGGCATCTTGTGGGATTTTTCAAAAGCACATAAGTAGATGAGATACCTACCTCTTATACCTGACCTGCTCATGTGCTTTTAAAAAAAAAAAAAAAAGTGTAATGATAATTACTTAGTTCTGTCAGAATAGAGTTTATGTTTTTATTCATATTCTTATAATTTTGTTCCCCCAGCAAGAGTCCCTTACTCCCAAGAAGGATGTGACAGTTGCATAAGGTATTTAAAAAGGCTTGTTTTTTGCTGAGCTATTAATTAATTGTACTTCACAATATCTTTCTTCTGATGCTGTGCAGGAAATTTACAAAAATCACAACAAGATTTCTTATAAAGGCACAGAGCTTACTGATCAGGTTTTAAATAAGTGGGAGTTTATAGAGTCACAGCAGTTTCAAAATATGATTTTTATAGGCAGTTAAAATCTGTTCCTAACTGGCTAGAGCTGAAATATAATGCACACAAAGCCTTAGATATCAGTTTAAAACTATACCAAGTAGTCCTCTGGAGACAGACTGAAGGCCTATCTATAGGTTTTCAACTTGCCCTCCAGCAAAGCTATTTAAACTCAAGGTGATAGTGCCAGGGAGTTAGTGAAGCCACCCACTGACCATTACTATCAACACCTTCCTCCAAGGCAGTGGTTCTCAACCTTTGGTACCTTCCGTACCACCTGCCAATCAACATGGCAAAAGTGAAACCGGAAGTCCCACGTGGCACTTCTGATTTGCCGCCACAAGCCGTGTCCCACTTCTTCCTCATGGACCACGGCCCGGGGAAAGCAGCCTGCGCAGGGCTGTCCTCCCTGTCCCCTGGCACACTGATGCTGGGGAGTGCGGTGCACTGGAACTTCCGGCCCGAACAGGCAAAAACACCTCCAACCTGCCAAGCGGGGGGACGGGTCAAACTCAAAATGCAGCACCTGCTTACTCCCCTCCCACATCTCGTGTACCCCAGGGGTACACATACCACAGGTTGAGAAACACTGCTCCAAGCCACTCCCTCCTTAAGTCAGGAAAATAACAGCAAGATCCTTGCCCTTCTGGCTGGTTGAACCCAGTGAAGAACAACATGCCCATCATTAATAGAAACAGTCCAAGTGTGGACTATCATTCTCGATAAAGACGGGCCACCCCAGTTCTTGAGAAGCTAGCTACTTATCCTGATGATCTCTTCAAATTCCTATTCCAGGGCAGAATAATTTTAATAAATCACAGAACTCCAATAACATGCAACATCAGCAACCATTGCAGATGCTACACAGTGAGAATTCAGAATACAATACAACACAAAGATGCTTGCAAAGTAGGAGAGATCTTTGTTCTCAGACTGCTGGACATCTCTGGAGACTTTGATACAATACCTAGGGCAGAGGTTCCCAACCCCCGGGCTACGGCCCAATACTGGGCAACAAAGGGTTGTCTGCTGGTCCACAGGAGGGTTGGCTGCTAGTCCAGAAGTGACCGGCATACTGCAGACTGGCAGCTGCTGGTCCACACTATGTCAGTTCCTTTTGGTCTGCAGTATGCTGGTCTGCAGTCTAAAAAGGTTGGGAACCACTGATCTAGGGGGTCTGTGACCTACAGCCTGCAGACCAGATCCAGCCCATGGAGCCACTGGATCCAAGTCATGAATCTGGGGGCTTTAGTTTTCAGTGGTGCGTTTTTTGCTTGCGCCATGGCCAGGTGCCAGGGGGAAGCAGAGGCACATAGATCTTAGCGCTGGCTAGCCAGCCTCTGACCCAAGCCGAGTTATTCCCACCCAGCAACACAAAAAAGTTCGCTACTGCTGTAGTAGGGCATTTCATGTCTACATAAAGCTGCAGGACTAGGCCTAGCTTCATACCAACTCCAAGGTGGTAGAGAATATCAGCTCCTCCTCTCCAAACACCCTCACCTTTTGAGTCTTGCACGGATCCCTACTCCTTTCCATGCTCTTCAAAATCTAAACTGAGACAGACAAGACGTCAGCTGAGCTGCCACACTAGTGATAGGTGCCCATTTCATTCTCAGCTGATTCAACTATTACAACTACAGCATCAGAATGCCTCTTTTATAGGTAACCTTCTTGTTGTAGTTCTCAACAGCTACAAGAACTCTGCAAAGACTGCCTTTCCTTTAGGAGAAAGGAGGGTAGTATTAAGTACGCTCCAAAAACCACTCAAAAGTCAAAACACTAAATATTTGTCTTTTCACTTGCCACTTCCAGCTATGAAATGCAATACAAATTTTGCAGAGCAAGCATTCAAAAGCAACCTTAAAAAAAGGTCTGTATAGCCTGTGGGGTTACATAGGGGATCTGGTGAGTTTTTTGATCCTTTCAGCAGTAGTCAATAGGTGCCCTTCATGTTATGGGCATGGCTTGTGCAATACAATGGTTATCCAATTTATTCTTGTACTTTATCAAAACAGGTTTTACCATACTAGAGTTTCCTTGAGGGAAGCATTTTGCAACACTTAATTGCAACTTATCTTCACATGGAAGAAGCCAACAATTTACAAGACTTAATGTCTCCCAAAGATTTTCTTCATACGATGATGCCCATGATAGCTGGAAGAAAAACACAGCTAATATTAAAGTGCCTGACATGAGGCATTGGCTCCAATTTAAATCAGAAGCCAACATCAAGATGTTCTAATTAGGTCAACACACGTATAGCATAGTCCAGGCCAAAAACCAGCTTGCTCAAATCACAGCGAGTCACAGCTTGCTTTGTCACTAATAGGACTAGCTGTATGTGGAGCAGAAAGTTTATACTCTTCTGCACAGATCTCCTTTCCAGATCAAGGTGTGGGAGAGAAGGGAGTGTCAGGCTGGCAGCTTCCAACGATGCTTGCAAACAACCTTGGCAGCCATACTAGGGAGAGCGTGCAAACCTCCCTTTCTTGACCTCTCACAGATAGCCCAGCTCACACATGCCCAGCTCCTAGCCGTGTTGCCGTCCTGCAGCCGGACGCTGGCATTTCTGCGCCGAGAACCTGCCAGCGCCTGCAACAGCAAAGCCAGTTTCCTGCAAGCCCGACAGGACCCAAGCAGCCCTGGGGACAGGGCGCTGGAAGGGCTTTCCTCAGCCCAGTGCCCTGCGTTTTCAGGTGACTGCCCCCCTCAAGCTGCCACCTCCTCATTTACCCCCACAGCCAGTGGCCTAGCTGGGCAGGGGCGGGACGGGGAAGCAGCCCCTCTCCCTTCCTGGACAGGCAAAAACAACCGGGAGGAAGAAGCCTCTGCCTTTCCAGGCCCAGACTGGCCTAACCCCGGACAGGAAGAGCCCGCGGTGGGAGAGATGCCCCTGCCCCGCGCTCCCCCCCGCGGCTCCCTCCCCTTCTGGGGGGCCCAAAGCAGCGG